AAGTTGGTATTTCCGCTATCCTAAGTGTGCAGTGAGGCCGTCTTATTGTTGATAGTCATTTTGGAGACATAAATGCAAAGACCACTCGCATTTTTTGCATTTAATTCAGGCTCACGTTAATTCAAAGATTTAAAGTACATGTATTACGGACTGGAATATTTAAAAAATATCACTCAGTCACCCTTATAATACCCAAAAGATTTGAAATTCTAACAAAGATATAATTTTGCTGTGTGGACTGTTTGGAAGCATCTCTTACCCTCTGTTCAGGACACCACAGAGCTAAAATTTGTGTTGTTATATGAGATTTCTTTATAAATGTCATTGACAAAATGCACATTTCCTATATTTTCTGACCAGAAACTACTGTGGGGAATGGATGTATGCCATATAACCAACTTAGAACTGAGAACTAGAGATGATCTGACCACCATGAACTGATGATGAAGGACCTTCACCAAGAGATGGGGCTTATAATATCAGTTAACTCAGATGAACAGATTATTTGTATTTTCTCACAACCCACAAGTTATTTCCAAACCCTGTAACCATGCAAGATTCATCTTTCATCATTTAATACAAAAACAGTTATTGTTATTATCAAAAACAAGTTATTCATATCATTTGTTAAATATTATGGATTATCCATCCCTTATGAATAAACACCGAAAAATTAATTCAATTGCGATGTCCTCTCCGAGTCCGATCGTAATGACTGTGTCACTTATGTTTCAGTGTGTGTTCTGTGGATCACACAGTCACCAACATAACACACTGTTGCCAAGTACCTACTACACCTGCCCCAGCTCTATAGGGATTGGTTGGTACACCTTTGTTCAGGAATCTCCCACCAATATTTGTCGCCCCCCGGCACTTGTAATCCTCTCATGTCATCTTAGCTACGTAAAAGGTCATGTAAGTCTGGGTGGCTTCAAGGGAACCTAGAATTAACCTTTTTTATTATGAAAGATAAACATAAAACGTTTGATGTTTTATTTCAATTGAGCATGTTGAGGTTGGTAATTTTTAAAAACCACAAATATGTATATTCATTTAAATTTAAATTCGATGTCTCTTTGAAATTAATTGGGTGGAAAATGTATGTCCCATTTCAATTGACATTTCTAAAAACATGCATTTGAAGTTTGTTGGTATTCAGCATGTTGGTTTCAGTGAATTTGTCACAGTCTGTTGGGCTTCAATGTTTGTTTGTTTGTTTGTTTGTTTAACGCTGCACTCAGCAATATTCCAGCCATATGACGGCGGTCTGTAAATAATCGAGTCTGGACTAGACAATCCAGTGATTGATGTCATGAGCATCAATCCACACAATTTGGATACAATGACATGCATCAACCAAGTCAACAAACCTGACCACTCGGTCCTGTTAGTCACCTCTTACAACAAGCATGTGTTACTCAGAAGACCGTTTCTAATCCGGACCAATTACAACCCAGATGGTCTAGGAGGTGACACATCTGATTTGACATTTCTAGGAACTTGCATTTGAAGTTTGATTTTCAACATTAGATCCTGGTTATATTTGCTGAGAGAATCTTTCCTTGTACATCATAAGTGATGCAATGCATCACTGATACATGTGAAAAAATGCAGAATGTGAGACAATGCAGAATGTGAGACAATGCAGAATGTGAGACAATGCAGCATGTGAGACAATGCAGCATGTGAGACAATGCAGAATGTGAGACAATGCAGAATGTGAGACAATGCAGCATGTGAGACAATGCAGAATGTGAGACAATGCAGCATGTGAGACAATGGTGATACTCCACACAGGTACAGTACAAGATGTCACTGTTTGGAGATTACGCTTATCGATGAACATACAAAACAGACGTGTCACGTATCAGTAAAAGATGAAGGGTGTGCTTTGTCTGTCATGTACCAGCCAGTTAGGTTTTAATCTTGTCATAATTTGAACATGTTGAACCACTATCTCACAGAGGCAGAACTAGGATTTTGAAAGGGGTGTAGCGGCCATAAAATTTCCCGTGATGGGATTCGAACCACGGACCTTATGATCTGATGTCGGACGCCTTGTCCACATGACCAAAGAGGTTAACCCTGTCAGCAAGCTGACAAGGTAAGGATGTCATCTGTAGGATGACTCCACGCCCTGCTACATACTCCCCCGTCAACAGAAGGCACATCCCGGGCTGCATAGTAGGGTACTGAGGCTTATTTCGCTCAAATTTAATATGAACGTGCTCAGCCCTACGTTGGGCGCCAATGTAGTGGCCGTAAAATTCCCGAGTCTCGTGATGGGATTCGAACCACGGACCTTATGATCTGAGGTCTGACGCCTTGTCCACATGACCAAAGAGGTTAACCCCGTCAGCAAGCTGACAAGGTAAGGATGTCATCTGTAGGATGACTCCACGCCCTGCTACATAGGCATCTTAACTTCAGTGAGGGGGTTGGGGGTAGAGTTGTGTGGCACTCGACAATCATACAAGGATGCAAATGAGTACTACATTTATACAAAGTTAGTTGGGGGTTAATGTTATTAGGTCCACATGTTATTTTCAGAAGGGGAGAGCACTTAGTGATGTGCATGTCAGTTGCCTGCCCTTGACTAACAAGCATGATACCCACAACTTTAGGGTCGTATAATCATGAAGAAAATCACAAGAAAAGAAATACATGAGGGTTCATAAATACCCCAAACACTTAAAATCACAGAGATACGAAGAATATTTGGAATGTCAGTTCAAGAAGTTTATCCTGGAACAGCATGAAGCTATCTCGATCTCGTCCTACACCCTCAGCCAGAGCTGGAGGGGTTGAGATAAGTCTGACAGTGGGGTTGTCCTCACACATTTGCACACTGTTTCACTGCAATGGCCACTGCTCCCATAGATACATTTCTGTTCAAACTCTGTGTTTGAAGGCTTGAAAAAACATTATGGAAGTGTCAGATTCAGGACAATATAGTCAGTTTAATCAGATCAAATAACCATTATGATTGTATCTGCATTTTCCTATCAAAGTGGAGAGTGATAAGGGGTTAGGGTGAAGGACAGACTGTAATATTACCCGGTACCCACAAGGAATGGACACATCAAGTGTAATAACTTCCGATATTTGCTGATATTTTTAGGGATTCCCAATCCTGATTGGTCAATTGAAACTATAATATGTCACAGTACTTCATTGTTAAGAAAAATATTATATGATGTAATACATTGTTCATACAGAGTAAAGTTTCTGTTGGGTTGACATTTCATACATTTTTTCTTCATTTTCTCTCTTAAAATGTCACTGAGTAATATACAGAATAACCTACTTGGAACTTGGAATTACAGATGATTTGTCCCTTGTGAATGAATGCTGCAAGTCCCTTGCCAAATGCCAAGTCCATTCATTCACTCAGGACAGAAAATCTGTAATTCCTTGTATGTCTCTAACCTTTCCTCGTGTGCCACCGGGACCTCATAACAATGTTCATTTGTGTCCTTGTGAGCTTAGTGTTCAACAGGGGCAGTCGGGTAGCCCAGTGGTTAAAGATTTCACTCATCACGGCAAAGACCCAGGTTCGATTCCCGACATGGGTACAATGTGTGAAGCCCATTTCTGGTGTCCACCGCTGTGATATTGCTGGTGGTGTGACACAATACTCACTCACTCACTCACTCACAAGTTTGTGACACCATACTCATTCACTCACTCACTCACTCACTCACAAGTGTGCGACAAGAACACTACTATTGTGAAGCCATCTTTGAACTTAGTGATTGCCATGTCACCATGAGCAAGATAAGAAGCAGTCACAGTTTAGATAGCGTGCCCCTTTTCATACAGATTGATATCACCCTTTTCAATTTTGGAATCCCAGATTTATTTTATTAATCTTCCCATGCAGTAAGCATCTTCATCGGTCTCTGGTCATAATTTTCTCTAAGTGTTTGTCACATTTACTTGTTATAAAGCACATTTATCATTTGCTTCTAATAAAAAATATTGTAATAAGGTATTCTTGTTAAAAACTTTAATCATTTGCTTATAATAAATAATATTGTCACTAGATATTCTTGTGTTTTTCAACATTTATCATTTGCTTCCAATAAATAATATGGTCACAAGGTATTCTTGTTAAAAACATGAGTGTGCTTATCAGGCATCAGGAACGGGTTTTAACCGTGGTATTTTGATGTTAACAATGCCATCGGGACTCCAATGCAAGGAATGTCGAAGCCTGGCCAGTGGACTATTTCAGATATAGTGTTGGATATATCTAGTCATTATCTAGAATGTACTCTATCATGGTTGGAGGCAAGATCATCTAGTATACGAAAGGTGGTGACGTGTGCAGTCACATACCATCAGTCGTTGAAAGATGGTACTTGTTGTTTGCCTGCCTGGCACTCAGTACAAAGGGGCTAAAACAAGGACCGGTGGGCTCGGAGTGTGCTGCATCGGGGTGGGGTATTCATGTTAAACTGCGGCATGGTATCTCAGTGGGCTAGCACTATAAAACCAGTATTAGTCTGGACTAGTACCATGTGCATGCACATCACTATATAAATGCAATATTCTTGGGTCGGCTGCCAGGACAGTTTACATAGGACTATCTGATGGTGGTTGGGGGTGTGGATGTTGGTGGGTGGTTCATAATTATACCAATGAATCTTCTTATTTAAAGTACGTACAGTACCCAAACATCTTTCTCATTTTTGTTGCATTTGTACACAAAGCTGTTGTCATTTGTTTTTAATCATCAGAAAACAGTCAGCAGCTAGACCCTCAGAAATACATGAGCCTCTGAACCAAATTAATAATGGTCCATGTGCTAAATCCTACTTAAACAGATGTCTAAAGATAAATTAAGGTTGACATGCTAAATTTCTTTCATCACAGAAAATTAAAACAGTAGCAGAAATTCTGCCCATACAAAATTGCATGTTGTCATTAAGACTTTAGGCAACAAAATTCCAATTCTAATTCCAAAAAAGATGACTCTGAAAATAGATGCTACTTACATTTAAGCGCAGCAAAGGCCAGTTCGTAAGTTTTCCTCTTCTCAATCTCATCTTTAAACTCCTCGTCCGCTACCGGTGGTTGGATGGGAGCATTGGCCAGCTGTTTCCTGCGAAGGTACGGACTCCCTTCATTGGGATCCTGCTTCAAGACCGAGTATATCTTAGCCCCACGAACAAACATACGATGAGAGTAGACTGTCGGTTCCTTAAAGAAGAACTCTTGGCGGTATTTACTCTCATCCGAGATGTAGCCATTACTCTGTGAATTGTCAGTCATGTTGGTTATATGTTCTGACTGGCTGTCACTATCCGAGAACTCCTCTCTTCCATTTCTCAAAATTTGGTCATTTCCTTGACCGGAACCCTCAAAGCGGAGCCCTCGGTTTCCACTGTACCCCTGCTGTTGGTAGGTAACATTCTCTGCTGTAGGTGGCATTATATTCTCAACATCCCCTCACACCTCTGCCTGTTTTCCCCGAAGGTGATGATAGCCCTTTCTGAGAGCTGATTGGTCAAAAAGGTTGGCCACTTGTGTCAATCAGCATTCACCAGACTGTCGAGCAATCGGCAGTGTGATTCAATCAAGTGCGTTTCAATCGCTGGGGCAGACGGGTGGGTCAATGCTTGATCCTGGAGTGAATTAAGTCAAGTCTAAATAGCCTCCTCAATCAATACAAACCAGTGATGCAGCGTGTCGCTTGGTGATTCCCAATACAGCTCCCCTTATCTACAAGAAAACAAACAACAATCTGTGAGACAAGAAGAAATTTCCTCTGGGCACCTCCTGACAGATCAACAACATTTAACGCGCTAAAAGTGATAAGCTGTCCATTGAAGCGAGCTATCACTATTGTCATCCGAGGCTGTGGAGCTGTCGCTATTGGGTATAATATACACTATCACTTGATAAGTAATATACCCCTAACAGTGGTGGGCCGCGCCATGCAAAGCAACCTCTCTCAATATTGTAGTGTGGCTTAAGGAACATATTCTTGTATGCTTCATGGAAGTATCAACTAGGCTTGCATGAGATTGAATGAAATTCTGAGGCAAGACATTGGTGAAAATAAAGGGATTATGCTCAGCACGGAGTCTACAGAATATTGCCGGACACATATGTATACACATAGGCAATATCATAACAAAACCTTTTCAAGTTCTCAAGGCTTGTGTCATAACTTAGGCAATGTAACAGTCGAAAAACTTTAGAATTGCCAGATCTATATAGATCATTACAAACAAAATCTTTAAAAACAAATTGAATAAAAAATTCTCTTTTTCATTCTATTGTTCACCAAATAGCTAAATAGTATCTCATTGATGTATAGTGGTAAGGAAAGCCCCATATAATTCGTTGTTTTACTTATTCTTTTGACCTACCCCCTTCCTCCAATGCTTTCTGGGTTTATTTGAGGTATAATCCGTAAAAAAAAACTCACGAAATCAAAGCTTTAACACAAACACAAACAAAATGTTGTTTACAAATTATAATTTCATTATCTTTTTGACATAATTGTGGGAGACAATCCATCCTTTAAAAATGAAAAAAGTGTTGGTCAATACATAACAAATGACCTCACGGACACACCTTAAGAACCTTATCGTATGAACACCTATCAGATTTTGCCCAGTTTCCATAAAGCCATGCTATTTTTACAGACTTTGTTTCCCCATAGATCAGACTCATAAGCACTTACAGCGTCCAAAAATCACTCAAACAGGCTGACCAACAACTCTCCTTTATATACTGTTTCCAGCCCAACAAATCTGAGCATAATACCCCTAACGGAATCCTCGCTACACGTCCACACACAAGAGGATTACTGCCTCAGACCACAGCCCACTCTTACACTAGCCAACAGGTGCTTTAAGCTGGGGTAATCTCTGCATGGCAATGGCCACACCATGGAAAAGAGGATCACCGTATGTTTGCATTAGTGTGAGCGGGTAAGAATAATTGATCTGGTGGCAATTACGTCCAAATATGTCCTGGAGACATGCAGCACTATTGAATGAATGGATTGGGTTTGGTCTTTAGTCCATGTAGTACTAAAACTCATGCTGTAGTACTGTGGTGTAAGCCCTGCTTTCGTATAAGCCCACACATCCATTTAAGGCTTGGCTCGGGCTGTTTGATTTACTCACTAACTATGAATCACAAACATAGATGGATCAAGACATTTCCAATACATGCCTGTCACAGACATTTCTAATACATACCTGTCACTGCATTTACATTCCAAATAATAAATACATTATAAGTTGCCTCCGGCTCATGGTATAAAACCTTACGCGGGACGCATAAAACCCCATGTACCTCTTGTGATCCTGTTACAGCGAATTTATCTTATGTTTTAATAATATTATGACAATGTAAAAGAATCAAAACAAATTGAAAATTGATAGAAAACAGCTGTTCGATTGAGTGGAGGTGAGCTTGATCTGTGTCACATGACCTTCAATGACTCTGAAAAAGCATGCAGCTTTTTGCTGGGAAGTGGGGTATATAGGATTTATTCAGCCTCTCAGAAATCCACATTCAGCCTGCCTTGCTCATGGTGGGGTATAAGGGATTTATGCGCCAGCTGAGAAATTTATTCCAATCCAAAGGGGAATACATCATATTTTATCAAGATCACGTGGACCAATCAGATCACATCATTCTGACATGGAGGTGTGATAATTCTAAATGTAAATTACACCTATATCTCATTAAAATCAAGGGGCGGTCGGGTAGCCTAGTGGTTAAAGCGTTCGCTCGTCACGCCGAAGACCCGGGTTCGATTCCCAACATGGGTACAATGTGTGAAGCCCATTTCTGGTGTCCACCGCTGTGATATTGCTGGAATATTGCTAAAAGTGGTGTGACACCATACTCACTCACTCACTCACTCATCAAAATCAGATCTTTTACTTCAATGTGATTCCTTTTTCAAGATACAGAAATCAGATACTCTGCTCCAGAATTTGGAAGCCTCCATCCTGATTGTCTGATAAGTAAGTCATGACGACCTGCAGTGGAAGGGTGTCAGATCTTCACAGGGAGAGGTATTGTTTCCAAGTAGAAGATCTGATTTTAATGAGACTGGAACACCCGGTTCCATCCTTGATGAACAGCATTGTGACCATGAGACCTGTCTATAGGAGGTTTCTTCACAGAGCTGTTTGAACTTGTTCAGAAACACAGGAATATTTTTGTTGAAAGGGAAAAAAAGTCCTACAATATAAAATTTCACTCAGGAACTTTCAAAAGAAAACCCCAAATACATCCGAAACTCATCCTTGTCAAAGTATATGTATGTGTTGGGAATCAAACCTGAATAATCAGTTTCAAGCAAACACACCAGCTACTGTGCTACCCAAGTGTATAGTTGACAAGGAAACACAGCCTGTAATTACTGGGCATTCAAGGAGGCTCTCCAGAAGGAGCTAATTAGTGTCACTTATGCCCTGTTGGACATACTAATTCAGTCAAGTTGTTTGGTTAAGTAAGAGCAAGTCTAGCGATCATGGTATGAAACAATAACACTACTCTATTTGTTTACTCAGTCAATTACTGTAAATCATAAATTTAATGTGTCACCAAATGAATGCAAGTGTCAACCCCTAGCCTAAAATGTTTTCCTGAAATGAATACGAGTTTCTCAACCTTTGAAATTTAAAAACTAGTCGGCAAACAAAATATTTGACTTCTTATAAAACTATTAAAAGATTATTTGACAAGGTTGCTAAGAACAAAGATGCCTTTATGTCAGAACTGCTTGATCAGTTTGCAACTAGAGTAAACAAACTGACAACACTTGATACCGTACTTCACTAGATGCACTATATCTAGCGCTCAGCTACATTGTTTATTGGAAGCTTGCTACGCATGTGATTGTTTCTGGCAGGTGCAGGGAACCTGTCAATAAATACGTCCAAATAATAATGCGTCAATTTATTGAAAATAGCAAGGGGAACTCACATTTTTTGCTTTAATTTCATGCTCTGCAGCCCTTGACATGATAATGATAGGTCAGTTCTTGAAACCAGAGAAATGGTTGTAGGACCAAACCTATCAGGTACATTTCAGATATTGGATTAGAATGTGTGATTTTCAAGTGATATTCAGTATTTGATACTTGCAGCTTTGTTTTGGAACCGATAGTGTTTATACGAAAGGTTTTAGTTATTTCTGTGTGACTCTGTTTACAGTTGTGAGACAGATATGACATCACTCTGGAAAGTTATGACATCACAATACAATGGACGACATCACATATGCTTCCCTAACAACTGAACCCACCTAGTGAAGAAAAAACAAACTAAATCGACTTTCAAGTCTTTGAATGGCATTTAGAAGTGACTTTCTTTGTTGCCCGTTGTTGTTGATAGACAGGACTTTGGTGGCTTCCCACTAGATGTTATGGTCTTGGTTCTTGAGCATGTATTCAGAAATAACGGATTTCAAGTCTAGTTTGGTCTGATGTTCTTTGAGTCTGATGTTGAGGGATCTGAGGGTTTCTCTAATGTATTGTAGGCCACAGTTGCAGAGGATCTGGTATAAACATTGTCTGGGGTCGGGACTAAATAGCATGCCTCCCTGTAAATGTGTAATGCCACAATAATCTGTTGAATAATCTGTTGGTTAATCTTTGCTTAATCCAGCATGCTGCCATGCTGATCTACACTGACCAGTACAAGCTCCATGTGTTTGTTTGTTTGCTGTTTAACACTGCACTCAGCAATATTCAAGCTATTTGACGTCAGGCTATAAAAGTCAAGGCTGAGCAAACAAACAACTCATACATATGTACACTGACACACCAATCAAAATGCACAAATAAAACACATCGTATTTTCATTTACTACAATCTCACCACAAAAGAAATATCCTTTTATCTTTTTCCAAATTATTCAAATAGAACAACAGGACAAAAGGTTTATATTTCATCCCGACCCATATCCCAGTCATAAATCCCAAGAAAAATACCTTCCACAATTATTCAAATGGAAACGACATCATACCACTCGAGACAAAATATAGGCTTGGAAGAATCACCACCACTGATAAACAAGTTCTATTCAGCCGAGCACAAGAAGAGGGATTGAGTTATGATCTAGTTCGTGTTGACAATGCAATCTTAACCTTGTTGGGAAACTTGATTAACTTTCCGCAATGACAGGTCACAAATATTTCATCTGCTTATTCATCAATCATCGTGACTTCGCACTGGCGGTATAGTGACCCCACTGTCTGTGTGTGTGTGTGCAGTGCAAGTCAGTAGGAACCACTTTAGATTTTATGAGATTCAAAAGTGTATGCAATTGGGCCAGACTTTATAGAATATTTCGACCCTTGTCCAAGTTTTCCTGTTATTGATGTATCAAGTATTATAGCTACAAGTAAGTACATGTACACCTAATATATTGAATAACAGAATTTGTCCTCAGCTTTGACAATCAATCTGATAAAAACAGTATTTACATTTCCAACCTGGCAATCACATTTTATGAAAAGTACTCAAATACACTTATCTCAAAAAGAGGGTATAAGTGAGTATACAGGGTATAAGTGAGTATACAGGGTATGAGTGAGTGAGTGAGTGAGTGGGTCATGAGTGAGTGAGTGACTAGGTCATGAGTGAGTAGGGTATGAGTGAGTGAGTGAGTAGGTCATGAGTGAGTAGGGTATGAGTGAGTGAGTGAGTAGGTCATGAGTGAGTAGGGTATGAGTGAGTGAGTGAG